ATAATCATCAAACATAAGATTCAAGAATAGGTTTTTTATTAGAGATAATAAAATAAATAGTTAAATGTTAATTTTCTTTCTCAGGACTAGCCTCATAGGTCATCAGTTTCATTTCATTTCTCATTATAGAAAAAATAATTATAAAATATAAAATTCATGAATAGATTTTTTTAGTGAAAGATAATAAAAATAATGGTTAAATACTAATTCTTCTTTTCATAAGAATAGCCTCATCAATCATAAGTTTTATTTTATTTCTCTTTGTAAAAAGATAGTCAGCAGACACTCAGTGTAAATGTTTTTCAATCGGATTTGTCTTCAATAAAATCAAAATTAAAATCGATTGATAACTTTGATTATTGTTGATTACGGTTTAACTATTACTTGATATTGTTACTTATTCAGTGTGGAGTTTTCTGATTAAAATCGGATGATTTTGTAGCAAATTCAAGGTTATCAGTCGATTAATAATTTCGATTTTCCTGCAAAACAATCTAATTTCAATCAGAAAATTTCACACTGAATAAATAACAATGTCAAGTAATAGCTCAGTCGTGATCAGAAATAATCAAAATTATCAATCGATTTTAATTTTGATTTTGTTGCAGAAAAATCTGATTGAAAGTCGCGAAAATTTTTCACTGGGCAGCTGATACGATACCATCTTAATTAGTTGACATCATGTGGTAAGTATTCAATTCACGAATAGTTTCTAATATGAAAACGAATTTTTTTTGTGTACAATCGGATTAAAAGAATACAATTGCAAAAATTTCTTATCAGTAAAAGGTTCTGTCCGTTAGTTGAACCTCGAACACATATCGTGTCTGTTATATTTGGGAAAAATTATTGATACACTCCTTAATGAAAAAATCAAGTTATCTGTCGAAATTTCTGAGTGAAAATGATAATTAAAAATCTTTTCTAAATAAAAAATGTAGCTAAAATTATGCACCTAAGAAAAAAATTAATTTTGCCTAAGTTTAATTTTGCCTAAACTTTAATTTTGCCTGTGACATATATATTATTGATCAACTGAAACTTGTGAAACTACGCTGAACATGAATCGTTAAAGTAATATTTTCTTGATAAGACACTTCTTTCTATAAAGCCCTTTGTGTAAAGAATAAACGAGTGTTATTTAAAAGTTGATTATCATAGTATAGAGAATGAATCGCTTGAGACCATCATCTAAGATAATGAAAGTGATGAAGTTGACTTACAATACTGAATATAGTAAAAGACTAACGAATTCTCGGATTGTTTTCGATTAACTTCTCTTTTATAGATTTCTATGAAAATAAATCTGTGCTTAATTTTTTAAACAGAATTTCATGTTAATTTTTATTAAATAATTCCCATAAATTGCATCTATCCTATTCTTAGAATATATTGGTTAAAATGCACTAGAAAATTCAACAAAATGAACAATTAGAGATACACATTATGCTTCTATTCTATTCAATATAGTCAATGTACTATCGAACTGTCATCTAGATTATTGCTTCCTTATTTCAATCGATAAATGATAATAATCTTGAAGAAGAAGCAGAAGAACATTAATAAGAGCAGCAACAAAGAAAAGAGAGAAATAATAATAATGTGTAAACTGATATCACGTGCAAACAACGTTGATCTGTTAATCAGACTAGAATAACTAACTGACTGGAAAAGTTATATGAACGAACGAGAGTCAGAGAAAGAAAAATAACTTTATTTATCTTAAATATTTGTTTATTTTCATAAATCTCAGGATTACTGGATTCACAAATAAGAAGAAATCAATATATTGAAGCATGAAGATGATTATTAGATTCTATTTGATACATTTCAAAAAACAATAAACATAAGATTTGTTTGTTTTTATTCAGTTCAATTGTTCATACTGGTTCAAAATTAATTAATGAAAACAAAGATAAAAAAATTACGCTTCTTCAATTCGTATTTACTGAATTCCCTTGTCTTTTTCATAAAACTATCATAGAATCTTTTTTTGTCTGACATCAACAAAATATAAACTCTACTGTAAATTTTGTACAAGACGAGTTGTCAAATATGATAACAATTCAATCAAAGAATTAACAAATGTGACACGGTTTATCTGAGAATATTTAAAAAATTAAACCATAAATGGAAAACAAAACTAATTAATTCAATAATCTAGATAGAACTTCAGTGTAACTTATTGATAACTATAAAAAATATAAGAAGTTGATATATTAATCTTGTTGAGTTTTTCCTACGTTGAATGAGTTGTCAAACAAGTTCAATAAGAATATTATCTAATTATGATATATTTTAATCAATTTTCATCTTCATTTGCTGATCATTTCACAACTTTTAAATACGTATTAGTATTAAAACAATTGAAAATCAATATTTAACAATGAAAAGTAACATATTATTTTTATCGAACACTAACTTATTAAATAACAAACATATATATATATACATAACACCTTTTTTTTTCTTTTGAATTCTCTTCTTTGGTTCATGTTAATAAAATATCATGAAAATCTGGAGAAATACTTTGAAATAAAACAATAGCCAAATTAATTAAATCTTCATCTCGATATTATATTTTAATGTATTTTTATTGTCTATAATTATTTATTGCACTATTTTCAGGTAACAATGAAAATATTACAAATAGATAAAGTTTAGTTAAAATTTTATTATGACGCTCAATTAACACCTCATAGAATTTAAAAAACTTTTTTGTTTTCTTTTTCAATTAGGATAGATATGAGATTTACCAAAACAAAATAACTTATTAAAGATTTTATTTAATCAAATATGTAAATATTCATCAGCGGAATTAAACAAATTTGATTATTGTTTTAATATATATTATATAAAGTATTATTATTGATATTTCCATTAAACAAATTTTATAATCTATTCATAGAGTACAAAAAAAAAATATCAATGTATTGAAACTTNTTTGAGCTTCTCGCCCTCTACTGCGTCTCTTGGTCTATGTGACGTTCTCTACGGGTACGATAGGCTTTGGCGCCAACTTGCACTCGTACTTTTACCTATTGTTTCAACACTTAGATTGCGCCACCTTTTTATCGTTTGATTCATTGGTTGAAGTAAATGGGTCAATCGTTTTTTTCTTCTCTGTTATTTCATAACACTGATGAGCAAGGTGCGCAAGATCTGGGAAATGATTCACTGCAACAAGTAGAAAGGATCGACCATGAAGCAAAGTAACGCACATTATACTTTTGGTTTTCTTCGTTTGGTAAGCATTGATGAGAGAGAATTGTTAGTTTTTTTCTGTCGTTGTTAAGCTCCCCGTGTAGTTTTTTCCCCAATTACTCATGCAGTCGAACAATTGCTATGAAATGCTGTTGAAAGGCGTAACAGAGAAAGATGATCATCTTTCATTATTATATTCCGATTTTCGATGATGAAAAACTTGAGTCTCAACTTGTGATTCTACTGCTCGAATCCGTGAATTTCCGATTGGAACACTGAGAAAAAAGGCGAAGTATTTGGAAGCAGGAGTTTGGTGATCCAGTCTAGTAGTTGAATTTTTTCAGCTCCAACTGAAATCGGTCGTATTTCATGCACCAGGGTAGGCAATTTTTTGTCGATTTTCTCTGACACCGAAACGCCATTATTGTCCACCAATCATCTATGCTATGCAGTTCAAATGCGTTTCAGAAGATATTGATATCTATATTTTCTTTGTTTGGTGCTTGTTTTATAATCTATTGCTGTTTTTCTTGGTACTGTAGCGCCACTATTGTTATTTGCATGAGTCCAATCAGTGATTGCATAGACCAAGTACTGATAAGCTTTCAGAGATGTGCACGAAATGAGTGACGATCTGACCACTTATCAGCATAGGTAAATTGCAATACTTAGAGCTACTCTCTTTTATAAAATACGAACTAAAGGAAGTGTTGAAGGTTAGAATAAGATTGTTTGAGCTTCTCGCCCTCTACTGCGTCTCTTGGTCTATGTGACAGACTACGGAATCCAATTCTCTTATGGCATCGGTTTGAAACACAATTGAGTGTAAGATCTTTCTCTTTTGCCCGTCATTTACATTCGTTCTAACCCAGGTCAATCCTCCTCGGTCGTACACGGCCATGTACCAACCAGATACGGCGAATAACGGCAACTGTTCGCATTAGCCATTTACGGCAATCGTAAACGATGCTTTACGCTGTAATACGCTCATCGTAAACAATGATCGGTAAAAGTTGCCGTTAACCACTACCGCAACTATATGGCGAGCGTATACGTGCAAAAGATAAAAAGCTGTAAAGCACCGTATACGCTACCTGTTTGCGGCAGCCGTATCCAGCAATCGTAAACAACCGTTTTCCTAATGTTACGTCCATCACAAACGACTAGCGTAACAACCCACCGTTTATGGCCGCCGATAAACTACACCGGCTCTAATCGATAATCCGGTCATTTCAACTGACCAATCAGATTTCGAGATGATATTTCTCAGCTATAACATTTTTTATTGCAAAAAAATTGACTTTTTGGGAAAAAAAATTTTCGAGAAAAAATTTTTTTTTTGTAGAAAAGGACTTGAGGGAGCCTAGACAGATCCTTCTGAAAAAGGCAACCACGAGCTGGCTTTTTTTACCGCGTTTTCTCTGTTGTATACTGCAACCGTGTGTCGCCGTTTACGGCACGGCGATTTAGGGCCATAGTACGGTGCATAGAAATACGGCGTCGTATGCGGCCGTATACGGTCTATCTAGTCGTCGTAATATTCGACCTGGGAACATATTACAGTTAATATTTTTCATTTTTAACAGGCGTTAACAACAGATAGTTGTTCACAAACTGAAAAGTATGTTTTTATGTTGTAATGCATTTTCATAAAAGATTAAAATGGAATCTCGTGCTATTCTCGTAAGAATGAATACCGTAAAATGGAACAATATGTGGTAGTTATTTTGTTTTTTTGTTTTATTCTAGTATTAAGACTCGACGGTAGCATGTCTTCTAAGAGTTCACTGGTTCAGATGGATCCTATCTATCGTATTCCGCCTTATTATTATATTCATGTATTAGACCAGAATACAAGTGTGACACGATTGGAAATTGGTCCAAAAACATTTTTTAGACAGGACAATGAGAGAATAGTTTTTGAACCCAGTAAAATGATCACTCTACCGCCAAGACATTATTGTGTTATTGAAAATCCTGTTGTAAAAAATGAAGATGATCAAGCACAATTCGACAACAATGGTCAGGCAAAATTGTTGCATGGCAGCCTAGATGTTAGACTGGAAAAAGATTATAAAGAACCATTTCCATTGTATCCTGGTGAAGTTTTAAAACAGGTATTGTGAATAGTAATACAGGAAATATCTTTCAACAGTATATGTTGATATTATTGCAGGCTCCCACACTTGTAAAATATGTTGCAACTAATTCAGCATTAAGATTAAAAGCCGTTTTGGATTTTGATGACAATGGAGAGCAGCGAAAAACTGGAGATGAATGGTTATTCGAAGGACCAGGTAAGTGACTGTGTATTCGCAGCTATAATTTATATAATTCATTCGTTCGAATTATAATATATGTATGCCAACTATGCCGATATCTTGATTTGTTAGGTACTTATATACCCCGCAAAGAAGTATCAGTCGAAGAACATATTGTTGCTACCGTGATCGGTCCTAATCAAGCAGTAAAATTGAGTGCTAAAAAAGAACTTATCGATCGTATGGGTCAACATCGTGTGGCAGGTGAAAATTGGTTAGTAAAGCAATTGGGTGCTTATGTACCATTGGCTTATGAAACGGTTGTAAGCCTTGAAAATGCCTATGTTGTAACAGATAAAAAAGCATTGCACCTACGTGCACTGAAAACATTCAAAGATGATTTTGGTCAAACAAGAAATAATGGTGATGAATGGCTCGTCACAAAAGAACAAACTGAAACATATATTTTGAACGTTTATGAACAACTTGTGAGCATTGTTAATATAAATATACTGACTTCAAGACAATATTGCGTTATCTTAAATCCAGTTTCATGTAAGAATGTTAGACGTTGAATTATGGTCGGACTTATTATGATTTCTATTTTTTTTTCAAGCTGACGGTAAAAATCAATTGGGCAAGAAGAAATTAGTTGTTGGTGATAAATCCTTTTTTTTGCAACCTAATGAGCAATTAGAGAATGGAATTCAAAATATCTGCATATTGAGTGAAGATGAAGGCGTTGTAGTGAAATGTATTGAAGGGTTCAATGATGAAATAGACAATGTGACTCGTATGCCGGGTAAGAGAAAATAATTTTCTCGTGTTTCTATTGTAGAGAAATTACCAATGACTAGATTCTAACTAAACAACATTTTAATCTGTTTATTGTATGTGAATTTATGAATTATTTGAATTTTTTAAGGAGACAAATGGGTAATAAGAGGACCACGTGAATACATACCACCAGTCCAAGTCGAAGTGCTACAAAAACGAAAAGCAATACCTTTAGGTACATTGATTGATCTCTCATATCTTGTGTATCTATTAGGTATTTTTGTCTAGATGAAAATGAAGGAATCTATGTTCGTGACTTGAGAAGTGGTCGTGTTCGTGCAGTCATAGGTAGTACATACATGTTAACACAAGATGAAGAACTCTGGGAAAAAGAACTGCCAGTAAGCATAGAAGAGTTTCTTCAGCGAGATCGCCTAGGTGAAAGACAAATCAAAACGACAGTAACATCATCGTTGTCAACGACTAAACGGGACAAATTCAAATTGGCTACATATCGAGTGCCACAAAATCAAGTCGTTCAAGTGTATGATTACAAAGCAAAAAATTCAAGAATTATTTTTGGACCAGAATTAGTCATGTTAGGACCAGACGAACATTTTACATACATAAATCTTTCTGGATCTGTAATTGTTTCTTTTTATTTACTTATTTTTCTTTCTCTACTATTCGTATTGAAAAAAGCTATAAGCAACAAAAAAAATTTCTTTTTTTCTGTTTTTATTTTCGTATTGTACTTTGGTTTACGCCGTTTTATTCAATAAAATAGAACAGAAATTATTGAAAGAAAACATGAATGGGTGGATGTGGGTGAGAGTAAGGTGCTTGCAGAGAGAACTCTCATATTCATACCCCAACGCAGTGCGTATTCGAATTCGTCAAACAGAGATGTTTCATTCTCTTAATTCTAAATTAAAGCCAGAATTAACTTATTATCAGGAATGTAAACAGACGGATAAAAATAAACTAAAGTACCAACTCATTTATATTATTCCACATTCACTTTATTTTCTTTTTTTATCGATGTAAATAATTAGAGAAGGTTTTCTTCCAACTTTTACTCATTATTAGTCGTTATTGTCAACCATTTAAAAATACCTCTTACTGGCTTCTTCACGCTAGATAATGTTGGCTCATGATAAAAGATATGAGTTGATAAGTAGTAGTTGGTAAGCAACTCTTCCCTGTTGTTTTTCGGCGATAAGTCCAAGTATTGAAAAAAAAAGATATGTAAAGCATCGAGGAAGCCTCGTCAACCAAACACAAAACTCATAAAAAAGACACTTACATATAATACTCTTGACAAAATACCGCCTTCTTGATGGGTCGAAGAACAAATTTAAGCAATTTCATCTATCATAAACGCATAGACCCACACAATTCAAGTAATCTAAGCACACAAGAGTTTCTGAAAACACATCCACACTCTCTTATAACAGTTCTCGTTTGAGCATTCACTATCATATGACAAATGTGCAAATATTTTTTTACAATATTTTGACGTGTTATGCATATAAAAATGATTTTTTCTTATGAGTGACACATGTCAAAATATTGAGAGAAAACTTTTTAGACTTTTGTCACATGCAAAACTTTTCTTTACAGGCATCTTCAAACATGTTTGATGATGACAGTAGTTGGTTTTTAAACTTCCTGAATGGACGTGAAAACGATTAAATGGGAACCATGACTAGAGCGTTTAAACGCATTTTAGATGTGGATGTTGGTCTTCTTTTCGTCACATATATCCTCATCCTACAATCACAGAGTCTCAGTAAACGAAAAGAAACAGAAAGCAAGTTTAACGAATTCTTTGTCTGTTTTTCTCTTGGGCGTTTTGTTATAATTATTACTTATTCATTGATAATAGCTTAGGTTTGAATAAGGAACGGGATGAGTTCACTTTTACATCTATTTGAATGAAGAATTAAGCAATTAGTGTCATAGTCTGTTTTTAAATAGTTCGTTAAACTTGCTTTGATAATTTTAACTCGAAAAGAAAAAAAATGCTTTAAAAGTACACATTATTACNGCGTGCGTGTGGGTGTGGGTGGGTGTGGGTTTGGCATGTGGTCGTCAATCATCGAAATATCCAAACCCAACACCCACACCCACCCCCACAACCACACACGCACACCCTCACATCGACACGCACACTCACACACTCACATCAACATTCTACGTACATTATCTAGAGATGCATTAGATGACAACGAGATTATTGTTTTATGATTTATGAACCAATGATGAGAAGCAAGGGCGATCAAGATTTCGCAAATAAACATGACATGTAAAATATAAAGATTTGAGTCATTTTATTGTTGCGTGAAACCTTTAATCACTTTGATTAATTCTTTTTTGTAGACTTCCGATGGCAGAACAAATACAATGATGGTGAGCATTGGTGGACTGAAAGAAATGAAATAGCCAATTAGATAGGGCCAATGTTCTCGACTCGATTTCATACACTTAGACAAAAATGAAATAATCAGACGAGGAAGAGCTAACAGAATAAGAACAGATGATGGTATCAGCAGATGTTTATGACGTCGAAATTGGTCGCGTAGAAAATACTTATAGGGCTGTTTTTTCTGAGCGACCGAACGAGTACGAGCTGCAGCAACAATGATGACAAAGGCCGCAATACAATTAATTAAGAATGGAACGAAAAAATGAAGAGCGTTTATCGTTGAATCAAATGTTTCCAGGACCGGTGAATATTTGGCTACGCACCATGAACGTTGTTCTTCGTCGTCAAAAATCAGGCGGCGATTCATTGGATCATGAATATGTGTGCATGAAGTGGAAAGTAAAAGGACTGGAATAACCCATTTCGCAATTTGTTTGCTTTTTACTTTGTTAAAGTTGATACCTTTCAAAACGGTGACAGCGCGTTCGATAGCTACACAACTACTAAGCCAGTCCACAGTACTGAGTAGAAATCGAAGAAGAAAATCGATGAATATGCATTGTACTTGTACGAAAGAACGATTACTGATTGAACCTATTTGCGAGGTAAGAAGGAGCCAAAATTTGATAGTTAATATATTCATTATAATTATGGATGCTATTGATGAAGTAAACAAATAACAACCACAGCCAACATTACGTGTGTTTTTAGTTCGAAATGTTAGAAATGAGAAAAAATTGCTAATGAGACCTAAACCGAACATAGTTGTCGAAAATGCGATTGCCACTTTGACAGCATAGGTCTGCTGACTGATTCCAAAATGCGGCCGGATTTGGTAGCCCAAAATAGCATCTAATGAGAGGCTCGATCCTTTGGTAAAAAATTGGCATTTTGATCCGTAGTAACAATCACGACAGACGCAAAGTGATGATTTTGGACATTTTGAATAATCTTGAAAGCATCGACCATTGTTTTCACATAAGTTGTAACCATGACATTCATAAGTCGTCTTATGATCAAATTTCAAACAGTTCGCTCTTCGATAAAGATCACACAAACATATGTGAATATTATCATACAGGGTGTCCTAAAAGTCCCTTACCAAAAAGAAATTCGAATATCTCTCTTACGGCTAGAGCAAACAAGCTGATTTTTTTATCAATGATAGAGGCATGTTTAAAGTTTATATCGATAAAGACATGCTTAGAAAGACTCTCTGCTAAGTATCACTATTGACCTCAACAAAAAAAATTTTACTTTTTTCACAGATAGGAAAAAAGAAAGACGGAGTGGCGCAAAAGTCACTTTGCCGACAAAAAGAATTGAATATCTCCACTACGGCTCGGACAAACGAGCTGATTTTTTTATCAATAGTAGAGGTATGTTCAAGTTTTATATTTATAAAGACATACTTAGAGAGACCCTTTGTTAAGTATATTATTTTTTTTCCTATCTGTGAAAAAGTAAGTTTTTTTTTGTTGAAGCCAATAGTGATACTTAACAAATAGTCTCTCTAGGCATGTCTTTGTGGATATAAACTTTAAACATGCCTCTATCATTGATAAAAAAATCAGCTTGTTTGCTCTAGCCGTAAGAGAGATATTCGAATTTCTTTTTGGTAAGGGACTTTTAGGACACCCTGTAGAAGCAGATTAAATCAGGTCGTTCGTGGCATGGAATATGATAGAGTTTGATACGCCTCAATATGTGTCTATTGGCAACGGTTTTATTGAATAATTCGTGAATGGATAAACATCTATGTGACGGAATTATTTGTGTTGTAATGTTAGCTGAAACAATGTCTTGCTCTCGAAGAATTATCAAAAAGTAGCTATCGATGACGGCTGCAAAAGCGATGTTAAATGTGAACGATGTATAAAATGTGAGGGAAGTTTGATCAAAACGGATTTTTTTCATAATACCCATTTGAAGATGTTCTTCCTCGTTTCGAGCTCTGATGAAGTGAATGAGTAATGATTGTGGAATAGTTATTGTGTTGTGAAACGATATGTCAATTCTGGTCTGTGAATGTTCGCAGCGATTTCCTGAATTCTCTTGACGACAAATACATGTTGGTTCGTTCCGACGTGAAAGTAGACGACGTTCATCGCCATGTACACATTGGCCCCTGTTGAGACAAAATTCTGAGTGACATGAAGACTTGAAAAGATGACATCGGGGACCAAATCGATCAGGAGGACATACACAGATAGAATTATTAATACATAGTGAACTCGTTGAACAATCACACGTATATTTCCTATCACACTGAGCACCTGACCATTCACGTTCGCATTGACAAAATGTCGAATTTTGATTATTTACATAATTGAAACATTTGCCATGAATACATGATGGTGTACATTTTTC